GAGGAAGTATGTGAGATGTGCTTTATAGAAATATACAGATACAGAAGTACATATGTCACATGTGTGCAGCTCAGCGAGTGGGTCTGTGCACTGTCACCTGGATCACGTGACAGAATTCTTTTACCTCCTTTGCCCTCTTCCTGTCAGTAACCTTGTTCTGACGTTTAACAGCATAGAATAAATAATTTTGTCTCTTTTATGCTTTATAAGTGGAACACATACAGTATGTGCTCTTCTGTGTCTTTTGCTCCACATTATGCTTGTGAGCTTCATGCACGCTCTGTCTGCAGATGAAGACCAGTCCTTCTTAGACTTGTGCAAAAGTTTGCATGAATATACTACAATTTATGGATCCATTTTACTGCAGGTGACAGTGTAGGTGTTGGCTATTATGGACAGTGTAGCTGTGAATACTCTCACCATGTCTCTGGTGGGAGGTATCTCTGTTGGCATGTACCTAGGAGGGCAGTTATGAAGTCGGGGGACAAAAAATGTCCATCTTTAGTGGATCCTGCCAATGCAACATTCCCAAAGAGGTTGTACCTCTATACCTCCTTACATTTAATAAAGTTCAAAATTCCCCTAAAAGATAGATATGATCATTCCCTCTCTCTTTTTGGAGGAACAATTAAAAACTCAATAGCCCAGAGTTAAATACTTACAGTAATGGGAGACTGTCCAAAGCCCACAGAATTCCTCACATCCCTGCACTCCTTTCAATCTTGGGAGAGCTCATGCCTTGACTTCTCTTACTGCCTCCGGTTGCACCTTGACAGATGTACTAAGGTGGAAAGAGTTGAGTGTGGTGTGGCGTCAGGAGGGGTATAGTTTGGGAGAATGAGCAAATTTCTGAGGCTGTTATGTAAGAGCAAGCCTCCATTTACTTCGAAGACAGACAGAGAGAGAGAAAGAGAGAGAGAGAGAGATGCTCATATCCTATGTCTTTGCCCAAGTATGGGGACAAGTGGGTACATCATGCTTTGGTAATTGGGTGGGCAGGACATGAATCTCAGGTTTCAGAGAGTTCTTCCAGATACGGATGGGGCCCTAGGTGATGAAAGCTTTTATTGACTTCTCAGTGACAAAACTTTTGATGGTCCAAAATTAGGAGTACATCAGTCAGGATTCTTGGTCAAAACCCAACTCAAATTTGCTTAAAAAATCAAGAGTTTTGGTCATGTTTGACTAATTAGAACAAATTTTTAAAAAATGAAGTTTGGCACATGTAAAGAAAGTCTTAGAATTCACTGGGCTTCTGTCGTGGCTGGATCTGTGTTAGGGCCACATCTCTAGGAATCTCTCTCTAGCCATCTCTCGGCTCTTATTTCTTCTTTGTTGTCTTCATTCCTAGACTAGATCTTCTCCTCTAGTAGCTGTTGTGCTTGTCATCAAGTCCGGACCTTCCTCTCATAATATGATGACATGATGAAAAGAAAGAAGGCCCTTCTCCCAATAAATCCAGGAAAAGTCCCAATTTGATTCAGTTTGGGTCAAGTCTCATCTATCCCCAGACAAATCACTGTGACCAGGAGAGTGGAGTGTTCTCATTGGCTAAATTGGGCCATGTCACCTGTGATTGGGATGACCTCACCTGAGTGACACAGACTGAGGTTATCATTTACCTGCCAAGTGGGATGAAGGGTGGCCAAACCAATAGGGTCATGAGAGGGCTTTTTCAGTCCTGCTGAGGAGCAGAAGAGGGAAGCCGACAAGAAGATTCTAGAGGGAGAACTGGCAAGCCCAGGCCTTCCCAGCCATTCCTGGCTCTAGATACAGCCCTGACTCGAGATCTTGAGTCTATGTGAAGCTCAGCTAAAACTCCATGGCAGTTCGAAAAGGGAGAAAAGAAACTGGAAGGAGGGGCTGGGGAGGGCAAATGGCAGCCAGATCTTCTGAGCCATCCTGGTGGCAAATGGCCCACATGTCAGAGTTGTGTGAGGCGCCCCCCCTGCCTCCTGAGCAGCCGGATTGTGAGACATTTGCAAAGATGTTCACCCCATATAAAGAGTGTGCTGATCCATAATTATGTAAATTAGTTGGCAATTAGATAATGTCACTCACTTTCCCTCTCTTGCTCGATTCCCACACAACAGATAAGTGTTTTGAGTTTCTGCACCAGTCGGGGGCCCTCCGTGGGGGCTCTGGGGCAAACCACCTGCACCCATGACTTCTTGTGCCCCTCTGTGGCTCAAGAGAGGGTGGAAGTTGGCTGAAAGGGTGAAGAAGGATCTCTGCCTCCCAGTGTCCCATTTCTTGAGCCTGGCATGCCCCACTGGATGGCTAAAGAAGGCTGAAGAATGACTGTTGGGGAGTTGGCCGGAGACCTGTGGTAGTTAAATGTAGGATCGTCTCAATCTTTTGGCCATATTGGAAGTTTCCCGGAAACTGTGGAAGTGCCCACAATCCAAGAAAGAAATTTAAAGTTTGGGGCGGGGGCGGGGAATAATGTGGATAGACCATAGGGTGTCAAGTCTAGCTAGACCAGTTCAGATTCTCCCATTCCTGAAAACAGATCCACCGTCATCTGTGGGCAGGAGAGCTTGATTTTCCTGTCAGCCTTTTTGATCCCTCCTGAGGCAGGTTGGGGGAACACTTGTGTCTCCAAGGTTGGTCTGCGCTGGAGAGGAAGAGAGAGAGTCTGAGGGGGAGGTTCACCTGGGCAGGATTGAGTGGCCCCCCCAAAGCAGGCTGGGTAAATTCCCATGACCCTCTTCCATGGGGGAGTGCTCCTGGGCAGAGTATGGTTCTAAATTCATGGGTTTCCCCAGACCACTGAGTAGGTACTGGTTTGTTCTTTGAGGTCATGGGGGCCCAGGATTGCTGTGGGGTCATGTGGAGGCCTCAGGGTTGCTGGTTAGCTTCTGTTTTACTGTTCATGACAAGCCCCTGTGACAAGCCCCTGTGGTAAGTCCCTGGTGAAGCAGTTGCTTCCCCCAAGACTGCTCTCCACCAAGCTGTCTGGTTCCAGAGCTGGGCTTTAGTGTATCTATAATATACTGGTCTCCCGCAACTTTGCGACACCCTGAAGGATGAGAATGGTGTCTTATTCTGCAGTAGTGCCTGGAATGAACTTGAGCTCTGTGAACAATTGGAGAGAGTTTCCTCCTTCCTGGACTGCTGCCCTTTGACTTGGTTGGCATACCTTGCCTAACACAATGACCCCATGCTTAGAGATGTCACCTCTCCGGATCTTTCCCTGTGAACCTGCCTTCCACTCACTCCACTCCAATAGCACCAGCGTCCTGGCTGTTCTTCAAATACACCAGCCGGTTCCAGATTCAACTTTTGGACTGGCTATGACTTCTGGAACATTCTTCCTAGACATTCATATGGTTAATTCCCATGCCCTCTTTCGGTCTTTCCTTATACCTCACCTTCTTAAAGACCGTATTTTGTGGTGTTTGCCTCTTTCCATGGTGTAAATCCCCCTAAGTAGTTGATCTCATGTTACCAAAGTGATATGAACCCCGTAAACTTTTCTGAACTCTTAGAAGTGGGATTTCATAAGCGCATAGGGGTTGGCGCCAGCATGCTCCTATGTTCACGTTCTAGTTAAGTATCCCTGTGCCACCAGAGATGCTTGTGACACAGGTACACTGCATGGATAAACCAGTCTACAGAACCAAGGCTTTCCTTATGATGGATTTAACCAGGCTTTTGTTGATGGGATTGGTTTGTTCCTGGGGAAGGGACAGCATCTTCCTCTTCAAAGCATGGGCAAATACCAGCTTTGTTGGCGTTATCATTATGAAACACTGCTGGAGACCAGGGTGAATTATCAAGCATGCCAAGTAATAACTTGGAAATCATACACACTGCTTTATCTGAACAGAAAACTCTCTACTTCTGCTTGGTGGGCCAGTGTCTGCCCTCAGAAACCAAGTCACTAACGCATCTGAGTACTGGTGCGTTTCTAATCCTTGTATCCTACACATCACATACTCTAGGTCTGTGCATTTCTTGACTATTCAGTTGTTACCCATTCTTCAGTTTTCATAATTTCTTAAAGTATTTTGTTTTCATGTGGTACCCTCTCTCCACTGACATACACACACCCACCTACTCAGATATGCACTAACAACCTTCTTTCCATCCCTTGCCATTCCAGAAATTAAAAAAGGAAGCCTAGCATTTACTGATCACCTACTATGCATAAAGTCTTTTGCTGGGATCGTCCCATATCTCCTCATTTAATCCTCCCTTCAATCATGAAAAGAGGCTGTAATCTTCTCCACTTTCAAATGTGAAAAATAGAATCTGAGATAAGTAAAGACATTTTCTCAAAGTTCTACACTACAGGAACTAGAAATTAAACTCTTGCCTTTTACATTATTTAACCGCAAAGCACATTTTTTTTCCACTGTAAGAGCTTTTCTAATATTTAGAAAGAGATGAGGCTTGTCATACTTACTGCTCACCTTCTAATTCATGGGCACTGATTTTTTGAAATACTTCTTTCAAAAATTTAAGGGCAGGAATCTATCTTAGGCCCACCCAAGCAGTGGACTGTCAAATTGAAAAAGTAAAAAAAAAAAAAAAAACTTTAAAAATTGACGTATTTTAATAGGTGGATAAGTGAAAATTATGTGTATTTGAGTGTGTGAAATGTTAGCACTTAGGGATAAATTTTGGCTATGTGTCTCTGTGGTA